TAAAGGGTGAAGGAAGTAAATAAATGAATAAATCAGAACATGCCTAGGCCTTTGTGAAATTGGGCAGTTGGTGATTTAATTTACTGAGATAGGGAAGTCTGGAGAAAAAGCAGATTTGGAGAAAAATTCAGGAGTTGGGCCTCATTTACATTTGACATTCTCATCAAATAAGTATAGACATCAAGAAGACAGCCAGGTATGTGAGCCTTGAGCTCTAGGACCAAGTATGAGTTCCTGGGAAGAGACTGTTCTCAAAGTCCAATGGTACAACCTGCTTATTTGTATCTCAGAGTAATCAGCGTTCTTTAGAAGAGTACACTTTGGGAGACTAAGAGTTAATAGACAATTTAATAACAATGATGTATCTAAACAAAAGGTTTATAAACTATGAGCCTCTTTAAACTGATAAAGGATTATTATTTTAGAGATGAGATGCTTATCATTGATAATTAGAATAATTAACTTGGAGAAATTTAAATACACAGACTGGTTTCTGACTGCCTGTCTATGAATCTCAGCCTCTCTACTTACCAACTGAATAGTGGGCAAATCACTAAACCACATGGTGCCTCAATTTCCTCATCTAAAAAATGGAGATAACTGTACCTACATCATGGTATACTTATAAAGATTAAATGAACCAGTACATGTAAAGCAATCAAAAAAGTATCTGGCACAGAGTGACCACTTAACAAATGCAAATTAGTATTGTTACCTGCAATTTCCGGGCACTGCACACAGAAGTGTCTTCACACTTCAGTTTTCTAGTTAGATGCTTGGTAAGAGATGGCGTCAAAGATTCAGAATAAGCTAGGGGAGCATATGAAAAACCCTGCTCAAAAGAAGTGGAAGCAAAGAGTTTTGCAGATTGCTAAAAACATCCTCTTTAAAAGTAAGCTATAGGGACTTCCCTGGTGGCACAGCGTTTAAGAATCCACCTGCCAATGCAGGGGACACGGGAAGATCCCACATGCCGCGGAGCAACTAAGCCCATGCGCTGCAACTACTGAGCCTGTGCTCTAGAGCCCATGCTCTAGAGCCCGAGCTCTAGAGCCCACAAGCCACAACTACTGAAGCCCACACGCCTGGAGCCCGTGCTCCATAGCAAGAGAAGCCACCACGATGAGAAGCCTGCGCACAGCAATGAAGAGTAGCCCCTACTCACCGCAACTAGAGAAAGCCCATGTGCAGCAACGAAGACCCAACGCAGCCAAAAATAAATAAATAAAATAAATAAATTTATATATAAAAAAAGTAAGCTATATATGTGCCGGTAATTCCTAAATTAGTTATCTCCAGCTCCAACCCTGGAGCTCCAGACTCTATACCCAGCTGCTTACTGGACACTTGACTTGGTAATTTAATAGGCATATTATTGGAATAAAAAGGGAAAACAATCGGTGTTCTCTTTAGTAAGTGAATGACCAACTGACCACTTCCAACAGCAGAAACTCTCGGCTCTGCTCCATAAGTCACGAAAACCATGACGTGAATAAACATTCAGCTTCACACTGAGATACTGCCCAGTTTGGTCAACTACATGAAATCTCAGGCATTGCACCTGGTGCATTAGCACTAATGTTTTGCAATTATGATTCTACTGCATGTATTGTTTACTACCATACATGCAGTATTATATATTATTATCAAATAATTTCTTAAGGTAGGTAGGGAATAAGGAAATAAGTGAAATGAAGTGAAACGATATATTAGATATCATTAGATGATTCCTAGGCTCTGTTGCCTGAGGCATACTGTGCTGTACACACCTCAGCAGAGGAAATTCTCAGTTGTCTTACCCTGGGCCATGACTCCAATCACCACCAATAATGACACCAACAGGGTGACCAGACATCTCAAGTGGACTGCTCCAGCAAAATTCTAAGAGCATGGCCTTCTGCTCTCAAAAGTGTCTAGACTGGATGAGAAATTATATATCTACCTGTGTATACTATCACCAAAAGTCCTGTAAAATGCATTCACTAATTCAGTTAATATCTACCAAACACCAACTAAGTGCCAGGTACCATGTTGGACTCCAGTACAATGCAGGATTCTAATACAGGCATACCTCGGAGATACTTAGGTTCAGTTCCAGACACAATAAAATGAGTATCACAATAAAGCAAGTCATGAATTTTTTGGTTTCCCAGTGCATATAAAAGTTATGTTTCACTATACTGTACTCTATTAATTATGCAATAGCATTACATATAAAAAGAGTGCATACCTTACTTAAAAAATAATTTATTGCTAAAAAGTGCTAACCAATGCAGAGTCACAACAAACCTTTACTTGTTTAAAAAAAAATGCAGTATCTGTGAAGCACAATAAATTGAAGTGCAATAAAATAAGGAATGCCTGTAGAAAAACGAAAGGTTTTGAAAAGCCATAAGATGTATGCAACAAGAGTCATATGTAGATCGAGAGCTTTAGTAAGGGTCTCTGAGTTACATACCTCATCTAAGAAGTCATGAAAACCGCAAAAACATAGTTCAATTCCTTGACAATAGATAGCTGGATAAATATCATACACAGTGTGTCGGTGCTTGGGCATCTGTGTGTTTGTACAGTTTACTCTTAGAAAACGTGCACAAGAATTCATAACCACAGGTGTTAAGCCTTTGTTGTAGATAGATGTAGACTGTTGAATAAATGACTAAATGCTCCATCACCTCACCACCATAAGCACTAACTGGAAACAGGTGATAAGGAAAGATGTTTACTTTTATAGGCAAGTAGCATGACACACGACAGGAGTAACGGCATTACTACAACTATCTTTCCTTTCTCTGACTTAAGGCACTATTTCTCCTCTGACTTTCAAAACAATATATAATTCACATATTTTAGGCTGATCTTTCTCTATTAACATAGGTAGGATCAGAAAACCTGAATTGGTGCAGCTGTGATTTCTTCTGAATTAGAAACATTATTCAGATTATTTAAACAAATCACTGGTAAATAATCAGTCAAGCAGATCTCAAGGAAGCTTATACACTCACCTATCTTCAAAGCAGTTAACAAAGCAAAGGCCATTGATAAATTTAATGTTAGCAATTTTCAAACCTCAATCTTACAGCTAGAAGGAACCTAAGAAGTGGGGTGATCCTAGGGACTCCAACATATCTTGATGGGAATCCTGGCAACTTAGATGAAAGAGGCTGTAGCACTTTATAGTTCTAACTAGATTCAACGTTTAAAACTCTTCGTTGGTAAAACCCTTAAAAAGATGATCTCTAAGGATCCCTCACTTCACAGACTATGACACTGAGGACCAGAGAAGCCACACAGAAATAGTGGGAAAAGTGTGACTTTGAAAGTCAGGTGCTCTTGACTAACCTCTTCCCAGATCTCTCCCTTGCTGTGTGTTCCTAAGAACAATTAACTTTTCTGCTTCTCATTTAAATAAGAAGGTAATGCTTACCTTTTAGGCATGTTATGAAGATTAAATTAAAACGCTTACCCTTTAAGAATGTTATGAAGATTAAATGAATTCATATTTATGAAAACATCTGGCACATAGTAGATACTCAATACATGTTAATTTCTTTGTTTCCAAAGGGTGACTAACTTGAGAGACACATAGCTGGTGAGGGCAAGAATCAGGACTAGAACCAAAAATTAAGATCCCCTTCACCACTCAAAAAATTTTTGACTGTTTCTTAATTGGCGTTTATCCTTGAATCATACCATAAAATATAGTTTTTAACACCTCAGTTATGGGGGGCAGGGGCTATTAAAGGAAACGTGAAATACCACAGCCTGCAAAAAAAGGTATTTGTGCCTTCAAGCACAAGCATACATTTGCTAAAAACAAAGCCTCAAAAGAGTCAGAAGTTGAATCAATGAAGTATTATACTGGCAACCTTTTGAAAAATGCCATCTGCTCTGTTTGTATCTGAAGCCTGCCCTCTGGAAACAATGCTGTAGTATAGCATTGAAACAATGTTCGTTGTTTTCAATGGCTATTTATCAACTCACATTTCAATATTAATGATTGCAGCAAATATGTATCAACTGTCAATCATGTGCAGGGTCCTGTGGACTCTACAGACATGAATCAGGCTTTGGTTTTACCGTAAAAAAATCTTAGAATCTACTAGAGAAGAGAGGCAGATTCTGAAGACTGATTTTAAAAAAACAATTGTATATTAAGCCATGAGACTTGAAAAGTTCAAGGCGAGCCTGTGGTGAGGAGTTATTTAACACTATCTACTCAAGGATGAAATATTCACTGCATTGGCAGTAGGTACACGTAGCATAATAAACATGGTCTGAACTGTGTTAACTAAATTCTACTCTAGTTTCTGACACCAACTAGCTATGTGAACTTGTCATGTTATTTGATATCTTTAGGTTTCATGTTCCTCATCTGTCAAATGGGTGAATCCAAGCGGATCTCCAAGTCTCCTTCAGGCTCTAAAAGTCCAAACGATATGATGATGATATGATGCTGCTGCTGCTAACGATAGCAAGAAAAACTAAAGCTTTTATTTACTGCTCACATTTTATGTACCAAGCACTGTGCTAAAGTGAATCATTTGTATTATCTTCACGACAATCTTATGAAATTGGCATTATTACGCTTATTTTACAGATGAGGAAAAGGAAGCTAAACAGTATTAAAAGGCTGGAGTCGCGATTTGAACAGAAGCAGTCTGAACCTAACCCAGGAGTTAACCCTTAACCGCTAAGCCCAAACTCCCTGTCTCCGCGAAAACTGTCTTATCTGTTAAGAAATAAGGACAAAAAACAGCTTGGAAAAGGGTCCTTCCTGACTAGAGGGCAGGTATGAGTTACTGTCACACTTGTCTGTTTCACGCGTTAGTATATCTCTTGCTTCACTTGCTCCGCGACGCTCGCGTGCACCCCACGGCGGTGTGCACCACCGTGAGGCAGAGCGCGGCTACCGCCAGAGGCAGCGCCGGCCCGGGCTGAGGCGCACGGAAGGCTGTGGGGTGGGGGAGGCCCCGCAGGAGCGCGGGCAGAGTGGGTACCTGGGCTGCTGGCTGCTCCTGCCGGCTGGGTCTTCCACCACTCGTCTCCAAGATCGTCTGCCATCTCCACGCGGGACTCGACGTGGCCCGACCACCAGGGAGGAGCGGGCGCTACCCGGGACTCGCGCTGCTTCAGAGCCCTGCTGCCGGCGTCGCAGCACGCTCAGCCTCTCCTCAGACACTGTCGCCTCCGCCCCGCGGCGATGACGTCATAACCTCCGCCTCGCCTCCCCGGCAGCTGCGTCCAACTGTTCGCAGTTTCTACACCAGTGCGGATGGGCAGGATCAGTCTGGAGACTTAAAGTAAACCTCCACAAAAGCCGAAAGAAAGGAAGACACGTAAGCAGAAAGAGGGTATCATTTTTTTAAGTGCTACCTTTAAAACATTTTGTTTAGGTTTTATTTTTCCCGAATAGATATTGTCGAAAGTGGGAGACGGAATGCTAAGACAGTTTTCCTCTGTTCAGTTTCAAAGGCCTTGAGTCGCGGGAGAAGACATAGCACGTGGGTGTGTTTTTGTCTGTGTGTTAATGTTTGGGCGTCGGTATGTTTTTACAGTTTGCTCTTTTAAAAAAACGTGCACAAGTCATGACCATGAATTTTGGACCTTTCTTGTAGATGAGGGTACTGCTCTTTTTATACGATATGAGGAAAGTAAATGTTGACTGGTCCAGAAGGGCTTGCCAATGGACAGACCCGAGAAGTACGGAGAGTTTAGAGTCGACTTCCCCGCACTCTCTTCGACTGCGCGCCCCCCCACACCCGGTTTTGTGAAACAAGGGAAGAAGAAGGTAAGCGACCTACGGTGCTTGTCTCACTCCCTCAAGTGGCAAAGGTGGGCAGGGAAAACCCGCCGGGCGCCGAGGGCTGGGGCCAGCTGTAAACTGTGTGGACGATACTTTTCAGGAGAGTCATGAGGTGAAAATCATACGAAAATGCATTAAATACACGTGATGTGCCTGTCACTGTAATTGGAATACTGGTTTAAAGATGAGTAAGATACGATCCCGCCTTCCAGATTTCACCAACTCAAGTAGAGGAGCTACAACTTGTAAGGATGAAGGTCTAAACTAATGATGAGGATACATTCTCAGAAACAACCGGGACTCTTAATCTGATGAGGATAAGATTAGCCACATGTGAAAATTATCCAAAACCCACCCAACTAATAGGTGGCTTATAAATGCATTACTGATTAGATTTTATCAGTATGTCCTAAAGGCTCTAAAAGGGAAGATATTAGCTATATAAATATGCCAAATGTAAAATAATCTGTAATCATCGAAAGTAATGTGTCTTTCATGAGGAAATGTAGATGGCAGAAATTATGGTGGTTGACTGAAAAGTTAGATAAGAAATACCAATGAGGAGGAGGTAGTGCCATGACCAATAAGCATATGAAAAGATGTTCTGTCTCATTATTAATCTGAGAAATACAAAAAAGACTACAATGAGATACTGTTTTTCATTCAGTAAATTGACAAAATTAAGAAGTCTGGCAGTACCAAATTCTGGAGAACATGTGTGTCAATGGGAACTCTTAAACATTATTGCTGTGAGTGTAAATTGGTATAACCACTTAGAAAAGCAATATGGCAAAATCTTGTAAAGGTCAACATACACACCTTATGATCCAGCAATTTCCACTCCTAACTATATACATTTGGGAAACTCTTGCATATGTGTACCAGGAAATTATAAAAGAATATTCACAGCAGCACTGTTAATAATAGCAAAAATGTGGAAACAACCCAAATGTTTTATATAGGAAAATGGATAACTAAATTACAATATAACCGCACAATTAAGCAGAGTAAATGAATGAACATACATAATAACATGGATATACTTCGGAAATATAATGGTTAATTTTAAAAAGCCAAGCAAAAAATAAAAATAAAAAAATAAAAATAAAAAAGCCAAGTCTCAGATACCATTTTGTAAAGTTCAGATACAAAGAAAACTAAAAAAATTTCAGGCAAAAAAATTCATATGTGATTTTAAGGTTAGAGACTGGTAAGCACGAAATTCAGGATGGGGGAATTCCCTGGTGGTCCAGTGATTAGGTTTCCATGCTCTCACTGCGGAGGGCCCAGGTTCATCCCTGGTCGGGGAACTAGCGTCTCACAAGCCTCACAGTGTGGTGAGGCAAAAAAAAAAAAAAAAAAAAAAGGATATGGATTGGTGGGGGAGGGGAGTGGTCAGGGAGATGGGATTAGGAAGAACAAAGGTAAATGTAAATTATTGGCAAAGTTCTAATTCAGGTAGAGTGGATGTGCATTTAAGTATTATGCTTTATAACTTATAGGTATGTTACATATATTTCTGTGGTATCAAATAACACATTATTTGTATAATTTAAAATATAAGAGAAAAGATCCACTTACACAAAAGAGAAATTTTCATTAAAGTTAAGTGCTATTCATTAAGAACTCATTAAGAATTCCAAATAATGACCCTTTATCTCAAATGACATTCAAAGCTGCCAGACAGTCTTACTACTTTCCCATGTGAGTTCACTTTCCCACTGTCCTGATCTTATCCCAGGATCAGTCTTCCTGTTGGCCCTGGATTCCAACCACCTCAGATGCCAGTCACAAGTCCCTAGTTGTCACCTATGCTTCTGACCTACCAGCTATAAATCAGAGGTTCTCATGGACTCCCTCCTTGGGTTCAGTCGTTTACTAGAATAGTTTATAGAACTCAGAGAAATACTTATATTTACCAGTTTATTATATAAAGAATACAGATGAACAGCAAGATGAAGAGATGCATAGAGTAAGGTACAGAAGGGTCCCAATCACAGAAACTTCTGTTTCCGTGGAGTTGGAGTGTCGCATTCCTGGCGTATGGATCTGTTCACCAGCCTGGAAGCTCTCTGAACCCTATACTTTTGGAATTTTTATGGAGGCTTCTTTATATAGGCATGATTCATCATTATCTGTCTCCAGCCCCTCTGCCCTTCTTGGAGGATGGGGAGTGAGCTGAAAGTTCCAAGCTTTTAATCATGGCTTGGTGTTTCTGGTGACCAGCCCCTGTCCAGAAGCCCACCAAGTGACACCTTATTAGAAAAAAAGACTCCTACCACTCAGGAAATTCCAAGGAATTTAGGAGTTCTGTGTCAGGAACCAGGGGGCAGAGACAATGCCCTTTTAATCATACTGTCGTCTTCTTCCATTATGACTTTGAAGCAATACTATTGATGCCCTGCTCCATTTTCCCTTGGCCCATATCTGAGCTTCTTTGTAGCTGTGGTAGACTATTTCCATCATGCTGACAACTTCTCTCCCTGAACATCCCTACTGTCTGCTTCTCTGGCACCATGGGAGCTTGCTCAGCCCAAGAATCAATGCAGTTAATGCTCCCAAGGGCAACTCTCAACCAAAAGGGAACAGGTGTTCGTAGATAATGCTCCAGATTCTCTGTCCTTTGGTGGCACAATTCTGAAATATGTCTCGCACAGTTTTTTAAAGGGTCCCCAGATGGACACTTTATTGCCTTTTCTGTTTTTCATGTCTCCTTTCCCCAGTCTCTCACTTGTGCTTCCTGAGATCACCTCCCAAATAATATACCTGCACCCAAGTGCTAGTCTCAAGGTCTGCTTTAGAAGCAACCTAAATTAAGACAGTTGGTACTGGAAATACCCTAGAAAGCAGACCCTCAATATAAAACTTGGGAATCTACTCACTGATCAGATGGTAACAAGGACATAATTAGTAGTGATAAGAAGAATGGTAAAAACTTCTGGTATACTGTAACATCACAATAACTAAAACACAATCACTCACCTGTGGTAGATTAGAATGACGTACAGGTGGAAGGGGAAATGCTGGCTTGTGCAATAGCTTTAACACTTGAAATATATGGGGCAATTGTAATTTTAAAGATTGTGGAGTTGGCTGGTTATTATCAATTCCGAATATGCTGAGAAAACCAGAAGTCCTTCCTAGCAGTGCTTAAAAGAGGCCCTTCTGCAACCAGAGACCATACTGTGCTATAAATTCAGGTCAGAATTTGATCAAAAGGGTAGCAGAGCTACAAAGAGATTGACTGCACAGACTGATATGTTACCTATGGTCAAGTCAAGTCCTCAAAGGAAAGGAGAGGGACTCTGAGACTGAGATGGAGACATTTGGGTAGATGTCCTTGAGGTTCCTGAACTTCCAGATTCTTGAGCCTTCTGGGCTGACAGAACTGGCCCTTTCTCCCTTGCTGGAGGAAAATAGCCTCTTATAACCTGGAGACCATTCAAGGCCTCACTGTAGTCAGTTGCCTCACAAGATGATGTTTGAGCCCTCACCTCCTCTCATTGCTTCTTCACCAATAACTAGAGTTAGTTCTCAGCATAGACAGAGTGAAAAGTACAGCCCCTATTATAGGAGAAAATTATTTATTTACAAGAAAGACTACAGGTATATATGTATATATATATATATGTGTGTGTGTGTGTGTATGTATATATATGTGTGTATGTATATATATGTGTGTATGTATATATACGCATATATCTGTATGTGTGTGTATGTGTGTGTGTATATATATATATGATACATTCAACAGGAACCACGAATTTCTTAAGGTAATGGATCTTGAGAGTATTGGACCAGCAGTGTGTGAAGCTGGGTAAGAGAGAGGTTATTGATATGGAGACACCCCCCAGTGGCCAATGATTTAATGTCCTGTGAAGTCCTAACATCCTGTGGGGATGGCGTCTTAAAACTTAGACACAATGGTAACCTATAGTAAATGAGATGGAGACATAGGGACTGTCTTGGCAGATTATAAGGAAAGGGTCAGGAGACTCAGCGGTGGACTTTAGAATGGATTTATTATGTGAGGCCAGAGAACCTACCAGCTGACTCTGTTCCCTGGGAGGGCCCAGAGGACAATTCTTTCACCATAAGATTGCAGTAGTGTGTGGGCACTGACTTAGGTGAGAGACTCAATGGTGACTGTCCTGTGTAGGCCAGAGGTGACAGTAGGAGATGCCCGAGTGTTCGTGAGTATGATAGAATTCCAGAATAGTGAAAGCAGTTGGCAGCACTGAACCATCAGAAGCAAAGTGAATTTAATCAGTGGTCAGGGGTCCTTGAAATGTAGGGGATCTGTGGTGTTCCACAGACCATGAGTTCCTAGGGGCAAGATAGAAAGCTAATGAGAGTATTGATTGACTTATATAGCAACAACAAAAAAATCAAGAGCTGGTAAGCA